ACAGTAACGGAGCAAAATGAATCGTGCGTGTATTACTTAATAATAAAGCGAAAGAAACTTTTGGGACAACCTAATAATATAATTTGATCGAATCACTTAACTGTTTTAGTGAAACGATGAAATAGGATGACTTGATTAAATCCCTTAGGGGGTTAGTCGCAGCCAGGAAGAGGAAAAACGACATTTCTTTGTGATTTTCTTTCGGTTATTAAATAATAATTTGCGTGAGTAACAATTAAGTATATTATAAAGCATGTTTTAAAGAACGAAAAAACATTTTTTGCTTTAAGAAACGTTTAATTTATATCGTCGTAACAGCCGATGACGTAGACGATGATTTAAAAATAGAGGTTTGCGGTGAGCATGATTTCTCGACACTGGTTTATTTGGAAACAGAAACAAAGGTAGATTTCGAAAAATAGATTAGTCCAGCGGGTCCCTGAACGAAGGATTTTGGATAAAATTAATTTAAAACAAGATGGCGTACATTTTCAAGTTGATTTTCAATTTTTTCACTAAAATTAAGTGATTCGATACAGGATTAAAAAACAAAGTATACAAGAAAATAAAAAATCCTTCGATCAGGGACCCGTTAGTCTAATATATTTTCTAAATCTACCTTTTGTTTTCAGGTGCACCAGTTTAAAGAAATCTTGCTCACCGCAAAGTGGCACACCCACGCCATCGCCATGTTATGTCGAAATGAATTCACCTTTTTTTAAAACAAAAATTCTTTTACAGTTCTTCAAGACATACTTTGTAATACATTTACATTTCATTAATAAAAATTATTATTTAATACCTTAAAAAACACACACACAAGAAACTGTCCGTTTCCATTTTCCTGACTGCGACTAACCCCTTAACTGTTTTAACGAAAAGATGAAATAGTACGATTTGATCAAATCCTTTAACTGTTTTAATGTAAAGATGAAATAATATTGTTTAGATACTGAAAGTATTTATTTAGTAAATCATGCGTTATCAAAAGTAGAATAGGTAATACAACAATATACTCACAGAAACAGAAATTATTTAGTCGAAACTGATTAGCAAAAAAAATGGGTACTTAAGCTGATATTAAAAAAAGAGAGAGAGAGAGAGAGAGAGAGAGAGAATTTTTAGGAAATGTAATTAATAAATAATTTATATTTCTACGACTATTGTTGTATTACCTACTGTACACTTAATAACGCATGATTTACTATATTAATACTTTTCATATCTACACTTAATAACGCATGATTTACTAAATTAATACTTTTAATATCTACACAATATCATTCCATCTTTTCACTAAAACAGTCAAGGGATTTGATCAGAGGGATTTGAACAGAGTTGTTATTTTAACATCTCCCATGAATTGATCATCTACCTTAGGGATTTCATCAAATCTCTATTTTTATCATTTCCCTGCGACATATAGATAGAATAGCCAAGATGGCCAAGAAAGTGTAACGCGAATAGTAAGAGAAAATAAATTTCACATTAAGAAACTTTGGTGAGGAAGAATAAATTAATTACCTTAATTTCTACGACTTTTCTCATAAAGTCTTAAAATTCTGTCAAGTTTGGACCGAAATAGGGTTACTCTCTCGATTTGTTCTCCCTTTCTTCGCATCTTACTATCTTCACTTACAGAGTTCTATTGTATATAGAGTAGCCAAGATGGCCAAGAAAGTATAACGCGAATAGAAAGAGAAAATAAATGTCACATTAAGAAACTTTGGTGAGAGAGAATAATTAATTATCTTAATTCCTACTTTTCCCATAAAGTCTTAAAATTCTGTCAAGTTTAGACAGAAATAGGGTTACTCTCTCGATTTGTTCTCCCTTTCTTCGCATCTTACCATCTTCACTTACAGAGACTACTATGATTCCTCTATTTCATCTATACTCTCTTGTATAATCTCTTTGATTGACACCGCTCACTTTGGCTCGATAGATGTATTTCCTGTCTTCGCTATTCAAAAGTATCAGGTTGTCCGAAAAGTTTCTTTCGTAAGTTGCATTCAATTATTTTCTGTGGCAGTGTTTATATAAATAGACAATCTAATTTCTTAGACATTGATGCTGTAACAGTTACGAAGCGAAATGAATTGTACACAATTTTGTAATGTAACGTAAAACATAAAATATTGTGTACGCATTAATTATTAATAAAAGGAAAGAAACTTTTCGGACAACCCAATACCATCTCGACAAATCACATGCTCCGATAAAGGATGTTTAGCGGAGTCTCACTGATGCCAATCCTACCCGAATTTCTGTCGCTAGCCTTCTTTCCAGCTTGCTGTAGCACATATCTTTCACGGTTATTCGCGATAATCGTGTTGCACAAAGAATCAAGCGTGTCCAACGAGGAGACCCTACAGCTGTCCACGCACATAGCATCAACTTTGATCTTTTCTGTTTAAATGCTATTTGAAGCAATGGAATGTACACATTTGATACCTTACGAATACAAAAATTAATCGTGATATTTTCTCGTTTTCACGTGACTCGTATTAAGTACTCTATTAAATATTCTACGTTACTTACAAATACCTATATTCTATATTACTCGTTCCCTTATCTAATTATGCTATAATCTCCTTCATCCGAAAACCTCGAAAAGAATTGTATTCAAGGATAGAGAAAATAGCGAGGAAGTATTTCGTGATAAAGTATCCGACGAAGACGATATTTGTAATAGTTCCCTACAACGACCATTCTGCTGAATTTCAATGGAAAAGAGTCCAGTAATTTCATAAAAATTCCCTGAAATGGCACCTGTAGGGTTCTCCCCGTAAGTTCCTGTCTTTCGGATAGATGAATCGAAAAGTTCGTTCAAGGAACCATTTTTTTCTTTTCACTCTTTCGGTTCTCCTTAAAACTGAGAAGACTGAATATTCTGGATACAAATTCGACGACGAACGTTTTGACGTTTTCCGCGCGTTCCGTTTTAGCCACTCGCACCGTGAATCGCAATTCCATACGATATACGCGCGTACGTTGTGTATATTATACCAACGAAAGTACGCGGTAATCATTTTTTTTTTTTTTTTCTTCATATAAGTATCTACGTTGAGCAACTTGTCTTCCGTCCTAAAACGAGATACGAACTAAACTACGACCAAATTATATACGACCGCTTAACGAGGATTCGATTCTCGAACCAAAATAGACAACTTCTGCCGCCCCATCCGACGATGCCTTCCTTACTCTCAACAAATGATTGTCGTTCTCGTTACACTCGAACAGCATCGCGGTACTCCTATCGCTCTCAGCCCATTTCCATAACCCTTTTCTCTCGAGAATTCTGACTCAACATTTTCCGTAGCTACGCGGCAACCAGTCCGCTACGATCCTAAATTAATCTCGAAACGTATTCCGTACGCACGAGTCCGCAAACTCGCGCCATTTGCGGAGAAACTGCACGCCAAACGCATTCCCTTCCTATTTTCTGGTTGTTAAACTTATTATCCAATTAGGACACAAGTGACACGATGAATGACGCGTATCATCGTGTATTAAGAATTAACGCTTCGTCAACCGCACACTTTTCGTGAATTTCTTATAATAACACGGCTTAAATGTGACTTTTATAACTTCTACAATATGGACATATTAATAATATTTTGAAGTAACGTTCGTCGCTAGATTGTGAATGTTTATGGAAACGTATTTTCGAGGCTATTCGAGGGCAAATTTTCTTCAACACTTTCGCTGCGGATGACGCACATGTGCGTCCAACTGAAAATATATGGTTGCTTTTATTATTTTTCAGTTTTCAGTTTTTTTTTTTTTTGTTCGACAATCGTATTATATATAAAATAAGTTACCATAAATGTATGTTTTTCAAAACAATCATATTAGAACATTTGTAAGAAATTTGTCATTAAAAAAAAAAAAATATCATAGTTGCAGCTCCCAGCGAACGGCTACTTATTTTCGTCCGCAGCGAAAGTGTTAAATTCCACATTGCTTGTATATCTTGATGTACCTCTTGAATATTAAATTATCTTTCATTGACGTTATCAAAGTTACTAAAAATGATTTCTCTTCGTGAAATAATTTACAAACCGACAGTAATGATGTACTTAAAAAAAAAAAGATATTTAAAAATGACATTGAAACGTAATTATACGTACAGTCAGTGTAAGAAGTATTCGTACAGCAACCAATTTACAATAAAAACTGTTGAGAAAAGAACTAAGAGGTTAACATTAAAAGTAATAAACTTTAATTTACGAAAAATCTACTCTAAAAATATGGGAATGTGGGAACTCACTTGTATGGGAATGTTGGTTAATTATTTCTTCCTCTAAAATTTATTATTAAAATATTTGGGGGACCAGAAAGTAGTGTCGTTTCTTTTACATTAAATTCGAACAAATAAATTTTTAATATGTTTTCATTTTTAATCAATTATATAATTGTCCTCGTTATCAATAACCTTCTGCCATCTAGTGTGCAAATGTTCAATACCTGATCGATAAAAATTAATTGGTACACGGTGAGCTGGTAAATAATAAACAAGCATTTGCATTCGTAGAAACGACATTACTTTCTGGTCCCTCTAATAAATATACAAGGTATCCCAAAACTCGGGGAGGAGCCGGAAATGAGACATAACTGAGACGATTCTGAACAACAATTTCCTTTGCAAAAATGATGGATGGGGCTTCGTTAAGGAGATATTCAGAGAAAACCCCGACCAATCAGAGCGCGCGTAGACCGTTGGAGCGGCCGCGGTAGCGTAGGCTACGCGCTGGTGGCCGCGCTTGCACGCGAACAAGTGACTCGACGTGCATCGAAGCATCGACCTAGCGCGTAGCCTTCGCTACCGCGGCCGCTCCAACGGTCTACGCGCGCTCTGATTGGTCGGGGTTTTCCCTTAATATCTCCTTAACGAAGCCCCATCCGACATTTTTGCAAAGGAAATTGTTGTTCAGAATCGTCTCAGCTACCCCCCATTTCCGGCTCCTCCCCGAGTTTTGGGACACCCTGTATGAAGACTGATTTTGAATTGGTTCCTGTATTAATACTTATTGCACTGACTGTATACGAATGAGAAATCCTAAAATGTCTCGAAAATGGAACCACCCCGAAGACATGCTCTACATTGTAGAGTCTACAAGATTCAACAGGTTTCATCCCGATTGGTCAAGCCATCTCGGCGTAATCGAGTAACATACATTAAAAAAAAAAAATCCATGTCGAATTGAGTAATCTCCTTCTTTTCGAAGTCGGTTAAAAATATCATTCTGCTCGTTGAATCGGCAATCTATCCTACAATTAACACATTAAGGATCGCTCACGAGTTTTCTCGTGTTTTCTACAAGCAGTCTCTGAATGTGCGGTCCTTAATGTGTTAAAATGTTTCTGCACGGGAAATGCGTTTGGCGTGTCGTATTCCCTAATCCAGCAAGACTCGACGAACTCGTGCGTACGTAAGCACGTGTCTCCAACCGTTTCTTACCGTGTATCTGTCGTAACTTTTTATAGACTAGTATCGTTAATAGGTGTTCGATTCGTGTCTTCGCGTCGGGTCTATCATACGTTTATAGCGCGGCACGTCGAGTGCCTCTCTACGTGATTAACGACGATATCAAAGTAAATCGAGTTTCTAAAACGCGTAACAAACGTACCAATTACACTCTTAAACGCGATAGGTTAGACTAGATTGTTCGCAAGTTTGGATCTCCTCTCGTCGACGTCGATCGGACCGAAGAGAATAGGTTTGGGTTCGGGTTCGGGAACGATCTCTTCGCGTCGTCTTTCCAAACGTGCCCACCACCCTTTTTCCCCAATTTTTTGATCGTGAACACGAGCGCGAGAACGATCGCCGACTCGGAACGCGTTAACGAAGGAATATATAGTCTATCAATTCGACGCGTGCGCTCAATTCCGACACGCGTGCGTGCACGCATCAGCTGCGAGAGCCAGAGGAACCAACAGACGCATCTCGTACTAAACTCGACAAACAGTTCCAGCATTTCTATATCGCCCCGAGCGATCCAGCGTTCACGGCCATCCAGTTCCGGTTCCGTCGACGAAAGAGTCAAGTAAGGCTGTTCGTGTTCGAGCAGTGTCCCGTCAACGCTGCTGGCGTCGATTCGAATTCTCTCGGTGCTCGTCCTTGGTCTCGGAGTACTCGTCGTCGTCGTCGTCGACGTCGGGACTCGGCCGCTCGGCGAGCAGAGGCGGCGGTATGGTGGCAACGTCGAAGCTGGAGTCGGTACTAGAGACGATCCTACCGTCTTTCACTTCGAGATCGACCACCACTCGATGCCGTCTCTTCAAGTTCTCCCGTCTTCTTCGACGGACGGCTATCTGACCGCGGACAGGCGTGTGTACGGGGCTGTCCATGCTCGAGGACGTGTCGCCCTCGCTCTGGGGACTTCTGCTCGACGGGTAAGGCATCGTTTTCGTGCGGATCTGCGTTCTGATCGGCATGGGGGGACTGGAGGTGGTGGATTCGCCGCTCAGGCTGGTCGTCGAGTAATAGGGCGTCGACTTTGCTCTGATGGGAACGACTACGGGACGCTCGGTGGACCTGGTCTCGTGGTACCTAGCGGTCTCCGTAGGCTCCGAAAAGCCTCGTTCGAACTTGCCCGTCGGTCTGGTTTTCTCCTTCTCGACGACCGCGTCCCTCTCGTCCTCGAACGACCACTCGTCGTCCTGAGGTGCTCGAGGGCCCAACGCTAGATTCGCGTACTTCTCGTGCATATCCTCGGAACTGTCCCCACGGCCCACCTCCATTCGAATCTGATCTCCGCTCGAATACTTCATCGCTGGCACGTTGTCGTACAATCTATCCTCGTCCTCGTCGAGTTCCTCCTCCTCCTCGAGGATAGGCAACGGCGCGTCCCCGTCGTCCGACATCACTCTGAACTCGTCGTCTACGGTCTCGTCGAATTCGTTCTGTAAAGTGATCCTGGGCGGCGAGATATCGGCGTACGACCTAGCGCTAGGCTGTTGCTGTTGCTGTTCCTCTTCGTACCGTCGACGCTGTTCGTCGAACTGGCTCTCGATGAATCTCCTCGCCTCGTCCAGTTGCTCGTCCCTGGCCGCTCGGCCGTCGTCGGACTTCGGGTCGTCGTCGAACGGTGGACACTGCTTGTCGACGTCAGGCGGAGGAGTGAGAGGCGGCGATGGCGAAGGCAAAGGCAACGGAGGCGAGGACGGAGGAGGCGGTGGACTGTCGGCCGTTCTGCACTTGGAGTTGGGTCTCATGCTGGTGACGCTCTTATCCGAGGTAGTTGTGTCGCTTTGGCTCTTCTCCACCGTCATCGTCGAGTAATATTGCTGAGGTATCACGGTGGCGCTGCCCGACCAGTCCGAGATGGAGGCTCCCAACTCCGCCAACGAGTTATCGTCCGATTTGGTGCCCGAGTACTGACAGAACTGACGAACGGTGTTGTTCGAGCTCGACCACTCGGACATGGACAGACCCATGGACGTGTCCTCGCTGTGAGAGGAACCGGTGATGTTCAACTTGGGCTTCACGGCTATCTTCACGGTTCCGTCGACGGTGGTCGCCGACGTGGAACTCTGGCCATCCTCTAAGAACGTGGAGTGCAGGTCGTCGTGCAGAGTTCTGTTCTCGTCGCTGGAGTCGCTGTCTTGATCCACCCGACCGGGAGTCTCGGTGCTGTCCGTCACCGTCACCTTCACCGCCTCCTCGGGCTTGATCTCCATGTAAAAGGTCTCGACGTGACTGACCACGGGAGGCTCGAAGACCGGCGAACTCGGCGGCGACGGCCAGTCCTCCGAGCTCTGAGCCTGCAGCTTGGATCTACCCGTCGATTTCGGTGACCTGGCGTCCTCGTCCTGGCCCAACACGTCGATGGGAATGTCCGGTAACTCGGAGGAGGTACGTCGGTCATCCGAAACCGAGGGAAGAGCGGTCCCGGACGGTGGATCGGAGGACAAGGAGGGCTGATGATCGCTCGACATCAGAGACTCGTCGTCCAGGCTCGGAGACCTCGAGCTGGGCTTGAACGAGTCCTCGAGATCGCTCTTGTCCTGCTCCGACGTCGTGGACCTCTCCGATATCCTCGAGAGCGTTCGCGTCAGCGCGAACGTCCCGCAGCTGGTCAAGATATCCGGACCGATCGGATAGATAAAGCTCCCTGGAAAGTCAGCCAAATCCTCTTGAAAACTGTCCTCGTTCTGTCCGTTGCTGTCCTCTGACTGTGACTGGACGGCGTTGTTCTCGTCCTGAGGCACCCAACCGTCTTCTATACTCGAACTCCCGGAACTCTCTAGAGGAAAGGACTTCCACGTTGAGCTCATCTCGGGCCTAAACCCGGGCTGAGAACTACTGCTGGTTTCTTCCTCCAGAGACCCGCTTCCGCCACGAGCGTCTTTCATCGCAGCGATCTCCCGACGATCCACTATCGGCTGAATCTGGCCTATCCCCAGAGGTCTCGCGATCGAGCAAGAACTGGATTCTGGATCCTCGCGATCAGGCGTCCAGGTGTTGGTCTCCTCGCTCTTCGAACGTTCGCTGCTCAGTTTGAGCTTCTTGTCGATCGATAGACGGTTCGCCGTGCCGATACCTAACTCTGGCGATCGTTTCGCCCTCTCCTCGGGCTCGTCTTCGGGCAACTCCTCGGTCCCTTCGTCGTCCTCTCTCCTCATCTCCAGATACTCGGGCGTCAGTTCTACCTCCACCAGAGTCTTCTCATCCATTCTGTCCACGCCGTAATCGGGAGAGCTCAACTCGCTGTCCACGCCCCTCGTGTGAACCTGCGTGTCCAAGGCGTCCAGAGTGTCCTCGCTGGTGTCCGCGGAGTCCAACGGCCGATTATCGTCGCCGTCTTGTTCTTGGGCGTCGCGATAGTCCTGTTCGTCGCTCTGCACCACCTCGTCGTCCGAACACTCCTCGATGGAGATCTGAATCGGCGACTTGACCATCTCTTGGTTCTCGTCGAAGTCGATCGACCTGGAGTACTCGTAGTCCTCTCGCGCGGCGCTTACCGTCACCGTCACGTCGGGCAGATCGTCCCTCTCCGCAGATGTTCTAGACTCTTCGTACTCCAATCGCGACATCCACATCTCCTCAGGCTCGCTGGTACCTCTGGCCTCTACTTCGTCGACTCTTCTATCAAGGTGCTCAGGAATTCTATCTTTCGCGGATGGGGTGGATTCGACTGTGCCTCGCGAAACGGACCCCTCGACTTTGTCAGTTCTGGCAGCTCTGTCGGATTGGTAACCCTCTTGGTCGCCACCACCAGACTCCACGGAACTCTGATCGATGAATTTCGTTCTGTCGTCCACCCTGACGGTTTCCAGCGCCGTCTGATGTTCCCTGGCTTCCGCCTCCATCGTGTCCCTTTCGTAAGGGATCAAGTCCACGGTCGCCGCGATGATCTCGTTGCACTCGGTCAGCGGTGATTCCAGGTACTGGGCCGAGGTTTCGGTGACGGACAGAGAATCCGTGAAAATTTCTGGGATAGCGGTGTGGTCGGTGCTGTCGGATCTGTGATTGGGCGACACTTCGATCGGCTGAACCGTTTGGGGCTTGGACGCGCTCGGAATCTCAGCCACGACATTGTCTCGAACCTCTTGGTTCTGATCTTCTCGATCCTCCGACATGTCCACGGTGTCATCTTTGCTGGAGAACGCGTTGGCGGGTGGTAACCTGTGCACCGCGATCACAGCCGCGTCCAAGGACTTGGCTCGTCTCTGAGACGTCGGCGACTGTGTCGCGCCTTGCCTTTGCAACGCACCGATTCCGCTACCTTCGGAGAGCCCTAGACGCGCACGGGCGAACAGTACCGGAGTCTGACCAGGTTTGCGCAGAACAACTGGCGATTGGGTCAAATCTTGGGGGAGAGGAGCTTTCTTCGAATCTTTGGAATCCTTGGAGTCCCTGGATTCCTTGGACGCATCGACGATGGTTTGTTCTTCGGCAATTTTTGCGTCCACTTTAATCTCCTCTTCTCGCGTGATTCGATTTTCCTCGGACAACGCGTGTCCCTCGCCGTCAACAGTGGTCTTAGGTTCCGTCTGGCGCGACACTTTCGACTCCTGCTTGGGTGGATCTTTCGTCGAAGTGGGCGATTTAAGGTCCGTCGATTTAGCCTCTGATTTTACTCTCGCGACTGTTCTTTTCGGTGATATCTTCTCCGTGGAGTCCTTCTTCTCGGTGCTACCTAGACTTTTAGAGATACCCAAAGACTTAGGTCTAGCCTTCTCGGTCTTCGCAGCGAGTTTTAGTATGTCGTCGTCCACGGAAGCCGACTTTGCTCGAGTCTTGGTATCCTCCTTTTCATTTTTCGTAGCCACGTACGGCTTATCGGGCAACCTGGTGACGGACTTTGATCTACCCTTCTGTACTATGCTCACCTCGGGAGCCACGTCCGTGGAATCGATGATGATGATCTCCTGCGGCATCTCCCCCAATTTCAGCTTGGACTTGTCGATCTTCGAGCTGGGCGTCGGGGCCCGCGACTCCTTGGATCCCGTCTTCTTCATAGGTGGTTTGTCGCCTTCCAAGGACTTGGACTGTTTCTTGAAGTCCTTCTTCATCTCAGACTTGACCTTCTTCGCTTTCTTCGGGGACACGTCCGGCACGAAATGCTTGTTCTCCACTTCCGGCGAAAGCAGCGTGTCGATGGGCGCCTTCTCCTCGGCCAACGACAGCGACTTGGATCGCAGTGGTTCGCCGTGGGGCCGCGACATGAAGGGAACGAACTCCGGAACCTTAAGGCTGTCCAGTTCCAACGCGGGCTTCACGGGTACGTCGTCCAGAGGCAAATCAGCGACCGGGTCCATGAAATCGTCGAACCCGGTGTCGATGATCTTAGGCCTGGCTACTCTGGTCGCGGAGTTTCTGTTCACCTCGGAAAACTTTGACTCGATCTTCTCCAGAATGCGTTTCGTCTTCTCGGGGATGCTGGGCTTCTCCAGGGTTTTAGGCTTCTCGGGAATTTTTGGCTTCTCCGGGAGTTTCGGTTTCTCCGGGAGTTTCGGTTTCTCTGGAAGTTTTGGCTTCTCGGGGACGACGACCGTGGGAGTCGACGGCGAGGATTTCTTGCTCTCCTTCTCTTCTATCGGCGGTGGTATCTCAGCTTCCTTAATCTCGTTCGTCTCTTCCGCGGTATTGTCGATGACGAGGCCCGGAATCTCGGGCAGAGGTATCTTCTCGATGCTGTCCTGTTTCTCGATGCTCTCTTCGGGCGCCTTGAGACTGTCCTTCTCTATCTCGGACGACTTGGCCTTGCGTTCCAACTTCATCTTCATCTCCATGCCGACCACGTCCGCGAAATTCAACGCCTTGGACTTGGAGTCCAGCGACCGTTGACCGCCCAGACTTTTCGACGCGTCGGAGGACCTCTTCTTCTGTATCACGGAGACGATCGTGACGTTAGGATCGGTGGGCGACACCTTGGGCGAGCGTTTCTCGATGGCCGTGACGATGGTGATGTTGGGCTCGATAGGCGACAGCTTCGAGGGCGACGGTTTCTTATCGAGGCTGGATGACTTCACGCACGCGCGATCCTCGATGACGATTTCGGTGGTTCTGCCTCTGTCCAACGACACAGACTTCGGGAGCGACTTCCCCTTGGAGGGACTCCTGTTCGTGGGCGAGAAACTGCAAACGCTCTTGGCGTCGGTTGGCGACAGCTTGGACGTGGGACTGAGGATGCTCTTGGGTTTGTCCGACGGACTCAGTATCGACTTGGGTCTAGTGATCGGCGTGCTCTTGGGTTTATCTGGCGAGTGTTTGGTGCCGGTTTTGTCGATCGAGGTCAGCTTGGACAGATCGAAGCAGGTGATGTCCGCGATCATTTTTAACGGCAGCTTGGGCAGATCTTTGGCGCTGCCGGTTTTCTTGCAAGTTTTGCCGCTGTCGGACTCCGATTTCTCGTCGGACGTGGACGCTGTTCCGTTCATCACGTGTCGCTTGTGCAGCGTGTAGGGAATCTCCATGTTGGTCTTCTGGATGGCCGCGCTGTCGGAGAAGGGATCCTCGTCGCCGGAATCGGCGGTGGTCAGGTCGATGGACTTTTGGTGCATGAGTATGTGTCGCTTGTTGTTCGAGCCTAGTCGCTGTCGCGCGGGATTAGGGTCGCTCTTCGTGCGTTCGACAGGCGTGTGCCCTGGAATCGTGTCGTCGAACCCTAGCACCACGCCACCCACGATCTTGGGCTCGTATTCCGTGAACACCGTCTTGGACTTGAGGTTCTCCATCTCCAGCGGCACGCCTATCACCGTGTCCGTTCTTGATTCCAACGACAGCCGCGCCTGACGTTCGCGCTCGCGCTTCTCCTCGTCCTTCCGCGCCTTCTCCAGGCTTCTCCAGTCGTCCCTCTCCCGCGGTCTCTCCTCAGACTTCATCTTCTCCGCTCTGGCCTTGCTCTTGCGCGTGTCCTTGCACTCGATCTTCTCCGAACTAATAACCCGCCTCCACTCGCTGGCGTCCTGCTCGACGCATTCGAGACTCTTTCTGCTGCCGCGCGAGTGTCGTCGCTCGCGAGAGTCTAGCCGTTCGAAGCTCTTGCGCTCGTAACCTCTGTCCTTCGAGTTGCAGCGTTCCAGGGACTTTAAACGCTCGATAGTGACGGGATCGAAGTCAAAGGTCGGCCTCTCCTGCGAATCCAACCTCTCCACGCTTCTACCGCGCTGCTGCAGCTCCCTGGCGCTGAGACGCTCGAAGGGACTCCTGTTCCCGGAATCGAAACGCTCCAAGGTGTGCCTTTGGTTGTAGTCGATGGTGTTACGCCTGCCACCGGAGAATCTTCTTTTCTCTTTCGAGTCCAACCGCTCCACGCTTCTCTCGCGACGCTCTCTGGAGTCGTGTCGATGGCTCCGCTCTTTGGGGCTTTTGTTCAAGTACTCCGTACTTCCCGGCAGGCCCTGACAATCTAAACGTTCGAAGCTCTTCCTGCGCAGCTCGTGAGGATCGTAATGAGGCTTCTCCTTCGAGTCTAGTCTCTCGAAACTCCTTTCCCTGACGTCTAGCCTCTCGATGCTTCTCCTCAGTTCCCGGAGGTCCACGCGATCCACGCTGCGACGACCGTGAACCTCTTTTCTCTCACGGGAATCCAATCTCTCGATCGATCTACGTTCTCGGGAATCGATCTTCTCCATCTTCTTACCGTAATCCCTGGAGTAATCCCTCTCGATGCGTTTCCTTTCATCGCGCTCGACGCTCCTGCGATCCTTATCCTGCAGCTTCGCCAACGTTCTCTCGAGCTTCGCGTCGCTCTCGCGTTGCTTCTTGTCCCTCGTCTTTAGACCCCTGCCCAAACTACCGGTCTCCACGTACGCTCGGGGCGCGTGATGGTCCTCGAGGCTAGCGATGCTGCGCGCACGCACGGTCCTGGCCCTCTGGTCCACGATCGTGCGATTGGTCGTGTCCACGGGGCTCGAATCGTCGTCTATTCGCGACTTGGGCCTCATGATGCCCTCGTCGCGCAGAACCTCGGAGTCCACGTGCGTGATCTTGTGCTTGGGCTTGAGATTCCTCAATTCGTTCAGCACGGACATCTTTTGCTTCTGCACTTGCAACACGACCGGGTCCTTGCGCGCGGAATCCTGATGGGGCAAGGGCAACAAGTTGCCCCCTGTATGCGGCGCGGGAACGTCGACAGAGTTCGCGTGACGCGTCTCGAACTTGCGCTCGATCTGCGTACTGGACCGTTGTATTCTGGATTCTACGGTCACGTACTCACCGTCCGATTTAGAGGGCGCGGCCGAGTACCGATCAATGGATCTCGTTCTAGCGGCGTTCTTCAAGTCCGCGAGCACGGATTTGAATTGTTGCTTCTCTGATTGTTTGATCGACCTGTGCTTCACGAAGGAATCGGTCTCGGAGTCCATTTGGAACATCTCGTGCTCGATTCCTTCGTCGCTGTGGTCCGATATCGGCTCGTTCTCCTCCTCCTCCTCGTCGTCGTCGTAGTCGCGCGGACTCGAGTACGACTCCGGGTATTCAAATTCGTGCTCGCGTTCGAGAAGCTCGTAAGAATCGTGGGATAGATCGTCGTGAGACAGATCACCCGCCTGACCGGACTCCTCGTGTCCCGATTCGGTGGACAGCGACGAGGTTCCCGGATAGGAGCTACTGTAGACACGCTCGGGCACCGAGTCGTGATCCAACGAGGGTAACTTCGAGCTGGCGGCGCTGTACGACCGATTGCTCTCGTCGTACCGCGTCACGGGATTGTCCAGCTCGCCCTGAGAGGGCAACCGGAACGGTTCTAACAACACGGACTCCCCGGACGGTTTCTCGTCCTTCGATCGCGCTTTGCCGGAATCCTCGAAACTAGAAGCGTACAGTTCGCGGCAACTGGCCGATCGCTGCCAGGGATGTCTGGGCATGGGTCGCGGTGGTGGGAATTCAGGAGGACTGCTGTTAGAGGGGCTGATACGACCTGCTGATGAAATCCGTTGCTGGCTGGTAACAAGCATCTGCCGCGGTGCTGGGACCCGGCTGGGTGTGGCCGGGGAATGGACGTCGATGGAGGTAAGTGTCCGAAACGACGTAGCTGTGTCTTCGCGACGGTGAATCGTCCCTCCCATCGAGACACTCGTCACAGTCGTCGGAGAATCCAGTGTCATCGAGCCGCATGACAGAGACAGAGCTGGGGTTTCCAGGGCTGAAAAGTAGTAGCGATTCCTTAGACAAACATCTTCCTCCTACTATCGCTCGCGAGTCGCTACGCCGTTCAACGTCGCGAATTCTAGCCATTTTTCACGCGTTGTCTCTCTATTTCGACTTCGCGTGCAAAGGATCTCCGAGTACAGACCACAACTTCGATACCGTCTCTGAGAGATTGACTCGAACGCGAACGAGGTGGATGCAGCGGGTGACTTTAAGCCTTTAGCCTAGCTGTAGTCGTACTACGCGAGGAGAAAAGGTTTAGCGTCACCCTGGTCCAAGTCGTCGTCTCGGAGATCGCCGTTCGAACGCGTGTTGCGTCGCGACTCTCGTGGATCGTAGTCGAACTCCAGACAATAGATCAATGCTCGGAGTTAGTTGCACATTTCGGACTTTGAGTATATAGAAATGGTGGAGAAATTGCTTTGTTCTGTATAGACCGAAAGTGTGTCCAAAGTCTGTGCGATAGAGAAAGGTATAGAGTGATATTAGTCCTGTCATCCACCAACCTGCACTCTTTGTATATATCTATAGAAACCCTGCACTTCAGTTTTATGAATTGTTGTAATAGATCATTTTCATAGAAATATATACTCAATATACGAAATTCTCTAAATCTGTATATAGCATTAAAAAAAAAAAAAAAAAAAAGAACCAATAATATGCTTTATGTATATACAAATATATTTATATTCTAATATAATGCAACTTATAATTCCTTGGCATCTGTTATTGATTTCAGCTGAGATAAACAGTAGTTGGATTCCGTAAAGATAGTATGCGCATATTTTTCTACAATAAATGTTACATTCAGTGTGGTTAATGAGTGCATATACTCTTTACTTAATATCATTCTATACCTTTCTCTCTCACACAGACTTTGGACACACTTTCGGTGCTGGCAATCCTCCACCATGTCTATACAGGGTGTCTCAAAAGTCGCGTAAGAGCCGGAAATGAGACATAGCTGAGACGATTCTGAGCAACAATTTCCTTTGCAAAAATGTCGGCGGGGGCTTCATTTTTGAATTATTAACGAAAAACACCGACCAATCACAGCGGCCGATTAGCGCGCATTCGGCTGGCTGCGCGCCGACTTGGCGCACCCAGCCAGTCCTGGCTCGAGCTTATGCTCCCGTGGCTGATCGCGCGCTAATCGGGCCGCTGTGATTGGTCGGTGTTTTTCGTTAATAATTCAAAAATGAAGCCCCCGCCGACATTTTTGCAAAGGTAATTGTTGCTCGGAATCGTCTCAGCTACCTACCATTTCCGGGTCGTACGCGAGTTTTTGGACATCCTGTATACTCAAAAGGGGATACAGCAGGCGTTGCCTCGGGAATCGGTCCCGAAACGCGCAAACTTAATTCCGAGCGCTGCGATAGATTATAGAAGCGTTTCTAAGTTCGTAATTACGCTAAGGCTACTTCTACGGCTTGCGATACTCTTCATGGTACGATTACTTCGAAACGTAACGCTAATGAATAAATAAAGAGAACGGAAACAACAGAGCGGAAGAACTCGAAGAACGAGAGAGAAACGAAGGGTTGATAATTATATGACAAACTGATTCGAGAAACAGAGGCGGATGGAGATAGATAAATTGATTGATAGATAGATAAGTACAGAGAGAGAGAGAGAGAGAGAGAGAGAGAGAGAGAGAGAGAGAGAAATAGAGAGAGCGCGAGGGTACGAAAAAGAAAGCGTTTTTTCTCGTGGAGGTTGGTGTCGGTCATGGTGTACATACCAGGATCGCCGAGGGGCAGGAGGGGGTGGGCAGAGATGCTGGAGCTGCCCATAAGGGAGCTGCTTGGAGTGGCCCCACGATAGCCTCCCCCCTCCAAGCCCTGCAATGCCCTACCACCGCTAGTCTGCCGGAACGAATTGGACCTGCGAGCAAGAGAGAGTCAAGTTCAGCATCAGACTTAGGCTACCAAATACCAAGCCTGTATCAGAACTAACTTATACGTTGTTGTTGTTGTTGTTGTTGTTTTTTTCTTTCTTTCTTTCTTTTTTTCTCTTTTTTCTTTGTTCTCATCGTCTTCCCTTCCTAATCTACCATCGTCTCCCGTTAGACGGTAAGCTCTCGTTACTGCGCTCACTCGATCGACCCCGTTTGTCGCCTTTTAATTCGATCTTTATCGACGCGAACCATCGATGTCTCGTTCGGGTTGCTTGAAACGAGTGCCCCGCGCGCGCGGCCCATCGCTCGGCCATACCAACGACGAACGCGATTAAGTAACGACCCACGACCGATCCGTCGACGGCCACGCGGTTGGTATTCAATTTGCAAACGAAACGATTGCGCTGGGTAATCAATTGTGCCCGCGAAACGATAACGAATACATTGTACACTCGGTAACACGGATTCGCTGCGACGTAGGCAGCGATGGGATCGAACGTCGTCAAACTGGATTAAAATCCTTACGAAACGGGTTTACTTTACACCTGTAGGCGGTATCTTCGCATCAACCCTGATGTGGAGCGGTTGCGGATTCATACCTCGCTCTCTTTTATGAATGGAAACATGGAGATCTTTCCACCTATCTATTTTTTCTATACGAGTGGAGCAATGACTTTGTCTACATCACCCCTGTGAATTAGATACTGTAACTTTTCCATTATTAACCCTTTGCGTTCGAGGCATTTTTCTATCAAATCAAATCCGCTCCATTTTTATAACAAATCTCTGTAAAACCAAAAACTCTACTTCGAAAATTCGCGGAGTTATTCCAACCAGATTTAATCGAGTTAATTTGTATTGGAATACAAAAATAGTTTTTAATAATATATACGCGAATATATTATTAAAACGTCTACGAACATTCGCGACTCAATGTATTATTATTTCAAATAATAATTAACTGTATTCTGATATAAGTAAAATTGAAATATTACGTTCAAAAAAATCACTTTTAAATGACACATGACGCCCTAGAGGCGCCACTCGAGCGCAAAGGGTTGAATATATTGTTGTCTGGCTCTATGGTATCCAGAGAATTCAGAGTCTGAGCTGGATTCTTACAAAATTTGGCTGAACGACCTTCTCCTTTACATGTACTTTTCTCTGTCGAACATCGAAGCTTGTCTGCGAATCTTTTCCTTTCTAAACGACTGTGTTCTATCCATTTAAAAATATAATCTCTTAACACGTCGATCGCCATGTCACCCATATATGGGTGACAGTGTTTTTCACTCAAGAACTAAAAAGATTCATTCTGAAAGTTAGACGTCACAGGAGATGAATCAAAATGAAGTTCTTGAATTTTGATGTAATTACAAAATTAAATACCGCGATAAATGTTTCATTACCTAGGCTCCGATAGTCTAAATAATATTTAACCTTAGCAGAAATTTTCAAGAATATTCGTTTGGCAGTCAACGTGTTAATTGTACGTTATTTGTATCAACACTGTATTGTCGAAATTGTAAAGCGAAATGGATCCTATAGGGTCTTAAGAGCTTTCAATAAATAAATAAATAATTAAAAAAAAAACTTTGTCTACTTTGAATATCTTCGTTATTTACAGTCCTATATAAGAATTTGTCGGAACAAGGTTGCACTGATTTGAGGAGCACTTGTAAGGATAGAATATTATTTCTTCCAGGGTCACTTTCTTACAAGACTTCAATGTCTTTTTATTATTAACGTAAGGGTACATTTTTTTAATGTTTCAAAATGGTACCATGCAAGGTTATATGTAGTCATTGAAGACTGTACTCACATACAGATTTTAAAAAATGTAGCGTTCTATTTAACATTGACGACCTTGAAATCTCACAAGATGACTGTGGAAAAAATTATTACACACGTATCCCTCGAAGCAGTGCAACTTTACCTTGGTAAAATTTTGTTATAGGACTGTAAATAATGGAGATAACCGCCAATTAATCTTGACGAATGGGTGAGTGAGTTTTATTTATAACGATACGAAGTCGTAAAATTTGACTATAACACTGACAGAGATGCTTATGCGCATTCATTTTTTCACAGATACAGAGAAGGAACTGGAAATTAAACGAAAATGTATGCCACTTCCTTTAAACGATATACCATGTATATTATATTACTTTCAATATTTTATATAGTTTTGCATTTATCCACATTTTTATAGATTTCTCCATGACTCCATTTCCCATGAATGGATAAACATCCGCAGTTTAATAACACCTAACGTACCAGTCTTACAATTGTTGCTTCTTTACATTCATTTCATTTTTGCTTTAAATTACGTTGCATTTACATTTGCTTAAATACTTCTCTAGTCGTCGTTCTTTCATTAGGAGTGTCAGTGGTCAATTTGGACCCACTGAAGGCTAATCTTGATAAAGTTTTGGTGCAAAGATACCTCGTAGGTGTAAAGAATGGTATAGATGTAAAATGGCTATGCTTTTGCGAGTAGAACACTATCCTCGATGTGTAAATATTGCAATCGACTCGTATTCGTCAGTGCATGTTGAACTTGATCCCTTCTCTACTTGTGTGGGCCTGTGGCTCGGTTCGCGAAACCCCTTCCTCTTTTGCGCGGTACGCTTCACGGTTTTGCGCGCCAAGGCTTACCAATTGCGCAAATCCAAAATATCTGACCTTCGTGCGCCAAGTCGGACGAATCGTTATGAAACGACAATGCTCTGTCGGTAGCATAATTTTTCTAATAAAAGTTGGGTAAATTCGATTTCGAACGGATCGTTTAAACAAAATTGATTTTGTACGAGGAGAAATGACTCGAAATTCACGAATAAATTCGCGGAGTTATTCCAACCAGATTTAATCGAGTTAATTTCTATTGGAATACAAAAATAGTTTTTAATGATATATACGCGAATATATCACACATATTTAATATTTACCGTAATACGGTAAATGCTGTAGAGTGAACAAAAAAGAAATTTGCCTAATACACGGAAATGTATATTCCGATAAGTATCTTCGTGTATCGTCATTTTATATTCATAATAAACAGAATACATCGAAATATGTAGAACACATTGAAACATGCAAACTGAAGTATAACGTGTACATAGAAATGTGTAGAATATCCAGTGTCTGCAGAATTTCTCGTATTCTATGTTTGCATATTCCAATGCACTAAATATGTGTAACATATTCGTACACATCGTTTAAACAAAGTATGTAAAATATGGGCTTTATACATCAATATGATAGATTTAAAAAGAATAAAGATAAAATGATTGAAATAAATATATTATTTCTATCGAATAATCTTGGACGCAGAAATTTTGCATTGTTTTAAATGAGCAACTTTCGAAAAGTTTTGAAATTGCTGTTTTAATCCTTGAATTAAAGGCCTTTAAATTGGTCATATCGCAAATATGATGATACTTTATTAATATTCATACCGTTTGGCAACTTTGTTTCTATATTGACAGAGCATTTTGTCATTTCCTGTTGATTCGTAAGACTCGTCTCGCTCGAATTAATGTTTTGGAATGTTATAAAATTGTTCCGCTCAGAGAACAATGGCGTAACGATTCTGTGCAGGTGAAACACCATGGGGCGAGCAACGTATGGAAATTATTTTTTACTCGCTATGCGACATTTGATCTAGATCGGAGTTTTTCACATCTCTACTTGGCCCCACGATGGAACGAATTCGTGTTACAGAGTGTACGTTAATTGTAAAAGACACGAGTGTAAATAAATAAAATACCGGTAAACAACGGTAAGAAAACTATCTGTCATACAAAAGGCACCGTATTAATAATTAACGATCTTCCTCACTATTCCTTAGATTTATCCCGATTTTAATTACTTAATTGAAATTTTATGTTACTCTGTTCTTTGGTTACTTCGCGTAGTGTAAATCGTCAATTTAATGTTAGTAGTCTTTAAGACAATCTTCAAAGGTGATACAAAAAAGAATTAAAATAAATAAATTATTACATTTATATTGTTTACAGAAGTACCCTATTATTATTCCTGAACGGACCCATTTGGTGACCAAAACTTTAACGATACTTTATTATACAAAACTGACGCTTCGTTTCTCCTAAAGACCAACGAATATCACCTTAACAATTTATCGATTTTATTTGACAATACTTTCCGTTATGAATAAAAAAATCTATACTTTACAAGGTTCCGTCCTAAATTAATAGTAGTCTGCGCGTGAACAATTGATGCACGAGTAATTGGTTATCTGCGCATGCTAATTTCACACGCACGCACACGGCGATATCCAATTGGGCTGTGTACATGTATGTCTGTGTATGTGTTCGACGGATCTATCGGTGAATCACGATGCTTTCTGTTCTACTAACACATTATTGGTAACTTTATTCGACCGAACACCGATATTGCATGTAGTAAACAATCGTGTGAATCTGTCAACTGTTATGTACAGAGGATGAAATTATCGTAAGGTAAAGTAATCTATTTTCTATCGTAGAGCAGGCTACCGCTATTGGACAAGATTGTATATACACAGAGTGTTTACCCATTGCCGATGAACATTCTAAGGAGTGATTTCTACGGGCCAAAATAAGATGAAAGTCAGAAGTGATGAATTTGTACCACAAAAGCTATCATCAACTATGAATCGACTTTACCCAAAATATAATTAGATAAAGTGTCCCTCCTGTTCGCAATTTAAAAAAAAAAACAGTGGCTAAATTTACGAACATACTACACTAACGAATTTTTCTTTCTCAATAGCGCAAACACAATCAAAAAGTCTTAAATTGTCTTTTTTCATCATTCTCGAGTTTCATCTTGTTTCAGCCTATAGAATCGCCTCCAGAAACATTGACCACTAGGTAGGTGAACACCCTGTACGTGTAACTCGTTAGCAAACAAACTGTCAGGACAGTGAAGTATGGTACTTTGCAGTGTAATTCGTTAGAGGTGTTACAATGGCGAGAATTAGTGATCACGCTATCAAATAGAGGGTACATCGATCATTCGGGTTATCGTGCCTGATGGTGAGCCTGACTCCCCGCCACCCCTGTCCGAGCAGGCAACACTGACAAACGGAAGTACAAAACGTACAGAGAGTGAGAAACACTTCGTTCTACGTAAATTGGAGCAACGACGATAAATACCAATTAATGTCCCGGCAAAAGCAAGACCGTGCCACCTCCCGTCTTACCCACGCAAGATCAGTGCGCTCGTTAATTAAAATATATCTCAATGGTATAAAACCAGCATTAAAGGGGGACAGTACATAACGGTACGCATGCACTATCTACACATTACTGGTATATCCAAGAGTTCGTTCAATTGTCAAACACGACATCTCAACATCGCTGATTCAGCTTACCTTTGAAACGTCTGCCTCTTCACGTAGTTGTCCCGCACGTACTCGACGATTTGCTTTTGCGTTTTCCCGCTATACCTGTTAACATCACACCAACAAATTAATTTTATTAACCTAATACGCCGACTAATCGTTAACCAGTCGGCTGTGTTTGACGACTGTACCTGTCGTCGCTTGATTCTTGCGACACACATAATGCGTTGCTCTAACAAGAAGACGCCTCATCTGACTGGTTAATGACGTATATATACGTTCAAATTTAATTTATATGTTACTTTATATGCTATTTTAATAAACTCTTGTAAAAGTAGGCCTCTCTCTGTTAGGTAACGTATAATAACCGCATACATATGTTGTATCCGTCGCGGCGTAAGGGTTGTACAGTAAATCAACATACCTGAAAGATGAACCGCGGCTGAGGACCCGCGTTTTCTGTCGTACCACTCGTTTCACTACCGAACAACGGAAGAAACCGTGATTCTCGACGCATTTCTTCCAGAAATTTTTGCACTCGTTGCGACCTTCGAAGAAGAATTCAACGGTATCCTTGTAGTAACCCTGAAACGTTCATTTGAAACGATCAGTCGTTGGACTCGATTATTCGAATGTTTTAACATTTATTTGGAAGATCTATATACTCACGTAACCCTCTGGATGAAGTTTGATTAAGAATCGCTTTCTTTTAAAACTGATCTTCCGAATTTTTGCCCAACTGAATGTGTTTATTTTGGTAAAATTTTGATAAACTACGATCCCCATGTGTGCCACTGCCAAATTCAGGGGTATACCCTCGTGATCCTTAAATGAACAATCGGGATGTTATCGGGTCGTTGCGAGTAAAACTAGGACAATTTTTATTTTTCGCTACTCACTTTTGCTGGATGCATTTTCATTCCATACAACTCGCAACGACGTGCTGTTTCTAGAAGATTAAGGTCCGCCTCTGCAGGTGATTGGCCTCTGTTTAAAAAATACACCATTTTTAATCAAAGTTGGACGTTATTCAAATAAAGCAATTTCTGGCCAAATTGATTCGGAAACTATCTTACGTGTGTTTTTTATATTTGTCCATAATGTGACGTTCTAATTCTTGATCTTGATGAGGCACAAATTTATATGTTGAAAGATAAGTGTGATCTGGATAATCCTCTGTTGCGTAATCCCCGCACTCAGCTGAAAGAGTCAATGTTAAAATCGCTCAACTTCCCCTCTTTGGTACTTAACTATTTAAAGTAATTTTCTGTGAAAATAAATTATCAGCATCGCATGCAAACCTACAATATCTTACCCTGGACAATATAGCTGGCCATCAGAGCTGCTGTATTATCATTGCATTGCAATAAACCTTGAGCTAAATCTCGTTTGATTTGAAGACAAAATAAATATCTAGTAAACTCCTCTTCCAGTTGTGCTGGATCGGGTGTATAAAATTTAACACAGAATCTCAAAAGAGGATCGATTAATGATAATCCAACTTGTCTACAAACAGGTTTCTCTAAATCTAACCAATACTGCAATTAAAAACCGTTGGTTAGTATTAAGGATTAAGTAAAATTCTTGTAGATTTAAATTAGTTTCTATGCCTTACTTTCGTTCCATTAGGTTCCTGGTATTCGAGACCAAAATAATCAGCTTCCAAAAGGTGCAGCTGTTTGCATACTTGATCAAATAACACCCTGCCTAATGCTTTTGCCTAAAATTCAAATATGTAAGAATAATAATTCCAATGATCCTATGGTAATGTCTTATTATTTCTATGCAAAAAGTAACAAGTTACTTTCAGTTATACCTATGCACATTCATTATGTATTAAAATACTTTTGTAAGGTAAATGAAAATATGTTTTATATGCTCCAAGAAAGGTTTTATGAATAATCAATACATCAATACATGTACTTCGTGCAGTATACTATAACCAATTATATGCTCCAATAGTTCATTTGAAAGTGTCATATGCGTGTCCATTATACATTAGATAAGTTTACCGTGCATATTAAATGCTTTGTACAGTAACAATTTAAACAATGTGTGTAATTAAATACACTTTTTATAGTTATTAACTAACTGTAGGGTACCTTAAGGTTTCTTTAGATTATTTTAACAAATCATGTTTATTTTCTTTAAACTCAAATTAATTTTAATAAGATCTTCCTATTTGTATCAAATCAAGCTCTCATGAAAATGACACTAGAAAAAATATTTAAGAGGTTCTACAGTCAATAACTCTTGACCTCTATGTACCAAACGACCAGAATATGCTGTTTTAAACCATGACACGAAGAAAAAGCCTACTATATGTTCCTCTGTATAACATATATCTTGTACGACTTTATCACAATAAATTTTTCTTACAATTAAAAATCAGACTAAATTGTACAACAATTGTAAAATGTACTGTAGTCAAACAAACACTATGTTTTGTTCATAAAAATAGTTATAGAAATGTTTTTAAATCCATATGGTTTTTGAACATTTTGCAAACCTACATTTATATCAAATAGGTTTATATCAATTCAGTTTCTGTTTGTCATGTTCATCTATCCTTGTTATATATGGTACTGTAGAAGTACAGTCAATTACTTCCCATTATAGAATTAAGCAGACACATTGGGGTACTTATCTAACATTTACAGATGCTTAAGGTCATTTTGCATTAACTATTACATAGGTATCAAAGAAACTGTACTTTGAAATAGCATTTGATCTCTTCTAAAATCAGATAATTTATAACTTAAGTTTGCAACTTTGTGTCGAAACTTAGTAAATTTATAACACTATAACATCAAATGCCATATTCATAGACATTAATCATTTAATGTTTATATCTATGTAAACTCAGGGAATCCAAACACATATAGGTTTAGTATTCGCTTAAAAGTATTGCTCATAGACATTACCTGAACTTGAAACATTGTAATTGTGTCATCCAACATTTGCACACGAACGGCAAGCATTTTTCCAGCTTTCCTAGGTGTCGTGGGTGGAGTTCTACTACCTCCATCCACGCCTGCCGGAGTTGAATGACTGTGAGGCATTTTAGATCCCCCGCTGCCTTTCATGCTTATACTTTCTATATCATTCATCTTCAGTCATCTACGTTGGGCCGTAGAATGGCTGCTTATTTTTATTTTCTTATTAAAAATTTTATTTATAATTTTCTATTACGTAGTCATCTGTAACAGAGTATTAAGCATGTCCGTATTCATAATAATACTCTCTGTATTTTCTACAAGAAGGACTTCATAGGTAATGTTTAAACATTTATTTTATAATCTCTTTCATTCAATCTGTTTTAAAAAGTATATCGTGTAAATTCTAGTCAACTTTATTGATATACTCTCTCTTGTTACATACTTAGAAGGATTCGCTGTAACTTAGCATGTGAAAGAGTAAAATCTTCTAAATTTGCTATGGCATGCTAACATTGACTGAAAACAGGTTGATTTATGGAGCTTCGACATAGCTTGAGAAATGAAAACAAGCTTCCGAAGCAAGAAAGATAAAAACTTTTCAACGATATGATCTTTATAAAAGCCAACTAAAACAGTAAACATTGCTCGTCAAGATTATAAAATAAAATTTTGAGTAGTAATTACGATGATTTTCTTTATTGACCTTTCAAATCAGAAATATCGCTTTGCTAGATTTCATATTTTCTACATAGATCTCACGACTCTGTTGACACAGTAAGAGAAGGTTAAACGATGGGTATATTCTCGTTCGTAAAACGTGCAAAGCGCTTTCATCTTTACGATCTAAAACTATAAAACGTATAGGTAATATCACGATATGTCTCACAAATTGCTGCCCATCTCGTTGCACAAAATTCTCGACAATTCGTGAGAATTTTACAAAATTATTAACACGTATAAGACGTACTCGTTAAACATGGAAAGTGGACAGGTAGTCGAGCGTTTATCGAGATGTATATGGAATAAAAGAAAAAAGAAAAAAAAAAAACATTATCGTTCACTACTGTTTACGTCATTCGTAATGATATTACATGCAAAAGCGTTACTTTTATCATTCGTACGGTCCACTATTGGCGTATCTTTAGAGGCGACTCGACACCAGCGGTTACGTCAAGGCTATGATTATACCGATTATGCTACCGATCGAACAGTGCTAATGGAATATGTCAAGAGATTGGCTGCGGTCGAAAGGGTTGAAAGTGTCGATTTGTCAATCAATGAACGATCCTGAAATCTCGAGTGCACGGTGGTACCGTTAAGCGTTCACCTCGTTAGCCCTGCTATCGGAGATGGGCACAATTTTATTCGAATATTTGAACGACGAGACTCTGTATCACGATTCGTTCTGTAGAAAAAGTTATTTGTTCAACGTGAAACTAATTCAGATCGTATATTATTTGGATTACATCTTTTGTGGAACGAATAACGGATGAAACGATGTTCATTCACGCTCTAAAAAGTCTGATCAAGTCCGATAAATTGGACGAGGTATATTCAGGATTCGTAGTAAAAGAAACTATTTTTTGTCTTTCTTTTTCATTAATTATTCAAAATTATGTATGCAGTGAAAAATGTTACCCATCTCCGTCCGCGAATCGATGGAATTTTTGATAGGAGCGAGAAAATGAGAGAACCGAACGATTGTTTCAATAGAATAATACAAATTTGAGACGTTCTTGGGAGCATTCCGAGTACGACGAACGAATAAATGGGATCGAGTGAAAGAAGGCGGGGCTATAATCGTGCCTTTGAAGGGAAAGAATCGGCTAAACCGTATTACGAAACGGTAAAAAAAAAAATAATACATATATGTACAGATTGATACGCGTATATATATATATATATATATGTATTCAGCCGACTTACGTTTGCCGGCTTAATAGGTACCAGTGGCAGCACGCCCCAAACATACAGCAACGCAGAGTTCATTGATCACCAAACAACACTACTCGTTCACCGGCACTCCCGTTGTTACGATCGCGTTCGCGATACCCGTGATATTAATAAGTCGTTTACGCTACCACTATTGCACACGACATAGATTTCGCGTACGATCTCTGGATATCCCCGAGCAACGATCGAGGAAGTCTCCAAATTGAACCACATCACACACCTACGGAGCGCTCGTCTCCGCCTTGGCATGAATTATACGAAATCGTCAGTGGTTCTCAGCATGCGACAAACGGTCCAATTATTCATTGATGAACCACCGCGTACAGGCAACGGCCCGAGAGCGACAACCCGTTACCACGAAAAGGACAGCTTCGACTTTTCGATGGCCACCTCGACCGACTCGAGTCCGATAGCCGACTAACGCTATTTAGTAGTATTGGTCTTACAGCGCGGCGACGCACTCCAAGGGCGGAGCCATGCGAAAGACACAACCAACGACATCTACGAGACACCAGAGAAACTTAAATGGCTATGAGGTAACTTTACCCGGCTTTGCGGCAAAGTAAAAACATTTTTCTTCTTTGGAAAATATTCAAAAGAGGAAACGAGACAAACATATCAGCAAACTTCAGATTTATTTGAAGCCTAGGGTTTTGCCCATCACTCGCTTTGCCCTGTACCCTCCAGAACGTTTTCGTACAAACTTGACTAACATCTAATGTACCTGTCTTACATTTATACGATCTCCAGATTCGTGTAGTTCTTGCTTTGCTTTACATTGCATTTCTTTCTTTCATGGTATCCATAATAGGGTAGAGCTCCTAGTAGGGCCCCTGGTAGGGCCCACTAGTCCCAACTAGTCCTTCTATAGAACTTGACTGTAGCACTATTCATTCATTCATTTATTTAAAGTGCGTAACTTATTATACAAAGTTATTGTACTACTGCTTACTTATTACTAGCTTATTTCCATGTTTCTTAGCATCATCTTGCATGACTTGTATTGTTTTAATACCATTTGCAGTATCTCTTACTTTTCATCTATTGGGGCCCGCTAGTCCCCCTCTAGCTCAGGTACCTTGGGGTTGCTGGGCCTGTACTGTAGCTACAAACACCGCTACAGACCCAGAGGAGAAGACTATAGCACCTAACGGACCAGTCTTATATTTATTCGTTCTCTACATTTATTTAATTCTTGCTTTACATTAGTTTGCATTTGCTTAAGTATTTCTCTTCATAATTCTCTGCCATCTCTAATAGGGATAGTCTGGTTAGGGTTCCCATGGGGTTTGAGGCCCACTGGTCCCCCTCTGTAGCTCAGATATCTTGGGATGTCTAGACCCGTACTTGTAGGTACAATAAAATATACCCTACAGCTCCGGAGGGTATCCTACTACTATCCTACTACTGAATATTTATCACTATTTTGAAATCGGTCTAAAAGAAGTATCCTCCAAGTTGAGGGTTAGGTATGCTCCCATAAAATATCCGAATTCCTGCCAGCTTTAATTTTTATGTTTCTTCAGTTTTCCCCTTCGATACTTTGTAACAAAAATGATGGAAAATAAATCTGGCCTGGTGTGCTCTAATTGCGTATGCTTTTCTCTTTCATTCGTAGATGTAATGTATAAATTTTAGAAGTTTGAAAGGGAAAGTAAAGGCTGTGCCTCGCATTTGCGCATACCTGAACTTTTATTTCTAAAGATTCGCAAGATGGCGCTACAGACTTAAATGCTCACGAGAACTGTCAATTCGTGCGTCTGTGTGCCACAAAATGTCAAATGAACAAAAGTAACCGTGAACGTAATTATTATAATTCTGTTCGCGTGAACGGTGAGTATCGTGATCAAACTCATTTTCGCGTACTACGAGTGAATAGCGTTAGTGTACAAGAATAGATCTGAAAATACAAAACAATCTCTTTGTCAATAATCTCGTTAGCTTCCGCAAAGTTCGTGGAGCCGATTATACGGCAAATAAAACGTATTATTTACAAAGCAACAATTGTTTTAGCAATAACAACAACACACTAGTAAGTAGAATGTAAATTGGAGCAAAGATCTATACATCACGCTAAAAATGGCAGTATCTCTTTACATCCATACCAAAGTTATAAACTCAATGTTTATTCTAAAAATATTAACAGAGAAATTATACTATCAAAGTATTCTACAAAATGTGGATTATAATTGATTGATTTTAGAACTGATGCAATTGTATTTTTACATTTTTCTAAAACTTGTTTTTTGTATTGTTACATTTTCCATTGATGATTTGTATTTTTACTTTTTTACATTAATTTTCTATGTTTTTCATTCAATATTGGATTTCTTAATGTATACTATATAGTACTTAATAAAGACACATTATTACATTGTTATTATTTTCAGATCTATAGAATAGTTGCTTTGATGTGAATCCTTTATAAGTGTCAATATATCAAACCAAAATGTCTGATGAAGAGGACACGGCAATACTATTAAATAGTGCCAATAGAACTATTGAGACATCTATAAACAAAGTTCCAAACGAAGATTACCAATGTTTACCTCCAAAGAATCTGAGGAAACCAATTCCAAAGCAAAATGATAATTTGACACCATTGACATCAGGCAATCAAACTGTTTTCGTTTCCATGGTTGCAATTTTGGCAGGTATTGCTTTTGGATGTGACATGGGAGTGGCAAAACCTATAGCTCCTTTAATCAAACATGAATTCAATTTAAATTGTTTTGAAAGAGATTTTGTTATTAGCATTTGGTTCATTGGAGCACTCCTTGGTGGTTTAACCGGTGGTAAGTTTAAACAAATTTTTAGAAGAGTACTATTTATTAATAGAAAAATAAGTCAGGAATAAATACTACTAACAATGCATTACAGGTTTCCTAATTGACTCGTTTGGTCGGCGCTGGACGATGATATTAACTCTGGTCTTCCTGACTTTTGGGGCCACATTATCAGCGTTGGCGAATCATTATATTTTATTACTCGTCGCACGAGTAATTTGCGGTTATTCGGGGACAATTTCTGCTGTGGCACACTGCGTGTATATGGCGGAAGTATCCGATTCAAATAAACGCGGATATAATATAATGTTGTACCAATTGGGCACAGCTACTGGATTTTTAGTATCCGTAATAGCTGCTGCTGTGAAAAATATCGACTACCAATGGCGATTCTCTATTGGCATAACGGCTGTTCCTGCTTTGGCCGCTTGTATTATTACTATTATATTTCTTCAACGATCCCCGCCATTTCTGCTTTACAAAAGAATGGCTAACGTCTCGAAGACTCCAACGAAGAGTGCTTGGTACACGGTCTTCGAGACTCTAACAATCATGATTTTTCTATTGATATTGCAACAGTGCACCGGTAAACGACAAGTCCTGTATTATGCACCGAGACTGTTCGCATTGTTGGGCATTTGTTCGAGTAAGTGATAAAATCGCGTTTCTCTTGCTTATGAAAGTATTCTCACTCTATTTTAAATACGCAAATAGTCAACACAACATAAGGAAGTAGAGTATGCCATTTAGACAAATGGAAGTGACCTTAAAGTCTCCGAAAGCTTTTCACCTCGTTGATGTATAATTTTTTTTTCATATATCTTAAAATAACACAGATAACTAACACTGAAACTGCTGTGTGAAATTCGTATCATCAAAACACACACGCCAGTTAAAGTGTTAAGGCGATTGAGGTTATCGTCCTACTTTAAATAATCATTTACATCGAAGAATACTTAAACTCAAGGTCAATACATATATTATAAATAATAATACGTTTGTATCGACTATTTCCGTACTTAATTTGGTCTTCCAATTGGCAAGTATTAATTTTAATTTCACTCACTCTATTTCACAGATGTTGCTGAAATCACAGCTTTAATATCACTCGGCGTCGTGAAAGTTTTCAGCACCATGCTGTCTCTGATCATAGTAGAAAGATGCGGACGTCGAACAGCGTTAATCACATCGGCAACTATTTGTATGACAACCATATCATTGCTGTCGTTATTAGCTACTATAGATAGAGGCGACGACAACTTGGATATCGTAAATACACATTGTAAGAATCATCACAACGAGGATGTGAAAATTCAAAACGCTATGCCCGCTGGCTCTCCGCCGCCGTTTCCACTGCTACCGACTCCGCTAGCTATAGCTGCTCCCAGCCCTGAAACATGGACTCAAATCAAGGCGTCTTGCGAAGTATACATTCTTCTCTCTTATACTCTTGAACTTTAAGGGAATAGTCTGGTATATTGATCTAAAAAATGCAGTTTATCATAAATTTTTGTTTATATCTGAAATGTTCAGACTGCTCCCTGATTCGATGTAACCCATTTCAACGATGTTATTTAATCTCGTTTCAGATGCAGAACATTATTGTTTCCGAAGGTCTCACCGGTGGTTTACGTATTTTAGCGGTAGTAACATTGCTTGTATACGAAGCAGCGTACGCTTTAGGACTCGGTCCAGTCCCGTTGTTAAATCTTACGGAAGTTTTTCCTGCAGCGATACGAGGAAAATGCATCAGTTTTATTACCATCGTGATATGGGTGACCCACATAATTGCTACAGAATCGGTCAGCGCTATGGCCAGTAAGTTTCTTTTTCTTTTGGAAGTGTTAACCCATTCAGCCTCAGGTTTATAGTTTAGGCTCTACGGGTTAAAATAAATACCTTATTATCTTTTAGATTGTGAATATTTCTATGGTAATATAAAAACAATAATCAAAAAAATATTCACATATATTGAAGTCATTCCTGACGCCTTATTCCTTTTAAAACGTATACAATTACTCTGTTTCAGAATCGTTAACGTTAGCTGGATCGTATCTATTCTACAGCTTCATGTGCCTAATCACCATATTGTACGTTTTCCTATTTATTCCCGAAACAAAAGGAAAATCTCTGCATCAAGTAGCTCAAGAGTTACGGAAAATCTCTCTCGTAACACGGATATGCAACAATTTGCGCAGCTTGCCGCTCATTTGTCACATCAAATGGATAAAAAAATACGACGAGAATGTAAGTAACGGACAAAGTACATTAATTTAAATAGTGAGACATTTCGTGCCAGAATAATGACATACAATCACAATGCGTCTGCGAAAGCATTTCAAATGCTACCGATTTTTCAGGTTTTCTATATCTAAGTGATTAACTATTAATTTTAGTGAAAAACTTACAAGGTTCATAACTTATTTGTGTAATACTCTGCTCAAAAGCCATTGCACGCCATTTAACGCGTGCATATTCAGACAAAGCTTCTCTGACTGCCGTTTATTCTATTACATATCACACGGACGTAACAAAAAATGTCGAATATGCAATCTCATTTTAATATAAAAGACTGACTAGTTTCTTAATTTAGTTCTTTCTCGGCATTCTCTGCCCATCTCTCGTGTTAACTTATACACAGTTCGACGGACTGTCAATTATTTAATTGCAATTTATTTTTCCGACCGTCACAATGCACGATGCAATCATTCCCAGGAAAAATGTAATTAAAAACGCGTGATTCGGAATGAAACGTAAGTTTTAAGTAAACGATAATGAACTATACCGTTTTATAGTATAGTTGAAAATGCACTGATACGGATTACATCAACAAATGCATACATTAGACATTTAGGTGAATACGTGTATATGTTATATGTCCCATCGTAATGATAATAGAACTATTTTTAATTATTATAATTGCGCTATTTCTAGGGTACTTTTCGGATATAAATGTTTACCGTATCCGTTTGAATATACGTAGTTTCTCTATGTATTATAACGACATGCAATGTTTTCCGGTGCCATTTCAAATATATATTATTATGTAAAAAAAGTCTTTTATTATACATAACATTGTTGTATATAAAAATAATTTTCATATGTATAATTATTACAGATCTATAATATTGTATAACGTAATATCGTTGGCAACGATGTAATTGATTTACATACTTAATAAAATGGATACCGTACATAATACGTTTTTTGTTTCTTTTTACGCATGAAAATAATGCTCCTCGTGATTGCTTATTGTTTATAACTTAATAAGAATGATCTTGTTGGCATCTGTTTCGAAAATAAATACACATTTATCTTACTTTCCCTACTTTCTCATCGATCGGCGAAGGATAATCGATACGATCGCAGGAAGACATTAATTTCGATAAACTAAAACCTAAAACTAAATATCACTTTCGTAAAAAGCTCTAGCCTAAGGAATTAATTGTAATCTATCGTAATCTCTTTTGATTGCTTCGAGATCTTAATTGGGAACAGAGGTGGCACGTTTTTAATCCGATTACCACGTTCTCTAAGTCTTTTTCACGGTAGTCCCGCCGAAAGACTTTCTTTTGTTCCAGGTCAACCGTTTCGGGGGCGATAAAACTTGCTCTAAGAATATATGTCTTCTCTCTTTCAAATTCAAATCGGTATTGCACGAAGATTTATCGTTTTCGTAAATGGAGTCAGCTTTTTCCCTGTTCGCCTGAGATCTATCGTTTGGAGTATGTTTCGTTTGACTAACGTGACTAACGTTCAACATGGCAGGAGCTAAATTCTCTTTATCGTGTTTCGTCGAAACGTCCGTCTTCTTTAATATAACCGAAACGTTCTTCCTCGATGGATCAGATTCGGAAGAAACGGTCGACTGTCCTATTTTAATGGCATTGTGTGGCGTGACAACGTACACGAGCTGTGATTTCGATTCAAACTTTTCCTTCAGCAGAGAAAATTTTCGTCTCGGATAGTTGATGGCTTTTCTACGTTTGTCGCAAGGTGGCGGGTCAATCTTCTCCGTATCACCAGAGTTAGCTGAAACATTCATCGTCACGTTTTCGTGGCTTCGATCATTGGATTCGGACACGCTGGTCTCGGATAAATTATTATGTACAATCTCAATGTTTTCAACAGGTACTAGAGGACTCATCTCGACGTACAGATCATTCTCCTTCGGATCGTCTTTTACCTGCTTCTGTACCTTCGGTTTGCTACCCAGAATCGGCGAATCGGAGAGTATCGCGTCTATCAGAGGCGTTTTCTTGATCGATTCTATCGCGCAATATTTGACAAAGTCTCGAATAGCGTCAATCTCGCGTTTCCCCCGAACGATCGCCTCTGGATCGTCCAATCGATTGATGTAATTCCTGTTAACGGTGGCAGGATCTTTAAGATCGTTCTTGAACAACGCTCTGGTGAGCTGTGCTCTCCTTATCAGATCTTTCGGATCGAAATCCTCGCACTGTGTTCCTGTCGTGTGAAACACGTGCCTCGGGGAATTATCAGCCGTGTACTTTCTGATCTGATCGATCGTGCTCACCAGAGTGCTGACCGAATCACAGCCAGGTCGAGCGTACTCAAATTTCTCGTCCAATTCGTCGTGTTCCTCCACAATGGTATCCAGCGCGAACATTCCACCTTTATCATCTATCACTACCGGCTTGGCAATGTAAAGCGTGGCGTTCTGCTCGTCTACGTCGGAAGAAGTCCTTTTCGTAGCCAGGGAAGGATCCTCGCTATACAGAGCTCTCAACTCGCGAGGATCAATCAGATCATACGCTAGCGTGTCGAGATAATCCTCTTGCTTCAGAATTCCTCTCAATACTGAACTAGCGCACGTCGTGTCCGAGAACTCCGAGCTGTAAGTTGTCCCAGTGGTGGTGCTTGTCAACGTATCTCGTCGTCTATCTCTGACAACGCTGTCATCGTGGATATAAGTCTCTATATCCGTGTAACCTTTCCAACTACGGATGCACCAGGGCGGTCTAGCAACCCCAAGGGGACAGACGTTTTCGTAGTCGTGTATCGAGGTGACGCAACTCATCGTTTCGTCCCTTTGCTGCAATTCCTTTGTCAGTTTTTCCGTTTCGGAAATTTTCTCATCGTTGAAGCTCGTAGGGGTCTCCAGCCTGTCCCTCAATATAGTGATACCGTTCAGATCGTCGCACGCCACCTCTAATTCGTCGAGTTTCGCAGCCGCGTCTGGCATCGATTTTTGGTCGGCAGCGACCGTCTCGTCCGTCTCGTTTTCCATCTCGAGGATCAGTCGCGTCGAGAAGCAAATTCCGCGCCTCTTCTGCGACGGATCCTTCGCTGTGACATCCTTATCTATGTCCAGCGCCTGCGTAGTCGGCAGACAAATGCCCCTGCGTTTCTGACGGTGGATGGCTTTCTCGGTTGCATCGTTACAGTCGTTTTGTATTTCGAATTTCTCGTGTTGCGAGAAATTCTTGTGCGCCGACTCGCATTCCGACATCACGCATACGGCAGTCTTCGATTCGTTCTCGATCTTACAACTCTGATTGATAATACCGTTCTCCGCGCACTCGGAACTCTGCACGATGTTCGTCAACAAGGACTGCTTGTCCGTGGTGATCTCCTCGGAGGCAGTGCCTTGAGAATGGTTGACGGAACACAAAGCATTAGGATAATACTGTTTGAAGGATCTGGGAGTGACGGCTACATCAGTGACCATCTCAGACTTATTGTTATCAGTGTCTTTAGAAATACCCTTCGACGGATGAAACTTTCCGTAATAAAACAACATACTCGAAATACCGATCAACATCCCTCCGGCTATTAAGCTCGTTACTATGGCTATCTCTTCAGTCTTAATTGCATCTTTAAAACACGATACGTAAATAACTAAAAACACGATGTTCTCTGTCACGATGATAGTGTAAAAGATAAGTACTCTGTACCGAGACTTGCCGACGCGCAAGTTAAAAAAGTCGAAGCAATAAATTAATCCTATGATGCAATTGTAAATACGCTCCTCCCACACTGTGGGACAGAAGTCTGTGTTTTGTAGAATTACCCAAACAGTCATAAATAGCCAATGGAGTCCTGTAACATTTAGAGAGGAATGGGCAACCTTGTAAAAGATGTAAATCTATTTTAAGGAAATCTCTATGGTATGTTGTCTGGTACACTTACCAAGAAACAATAAAAACCATTCCCGTAAACAGATTGCCGTCAAAACCAATACTGCTATTCTGGATATTAACATTCCTGCTCGCCAAACACCCTGAAGAGTCAACACTACCCATGTTGTCTCGTTATGGCCAGGATTTATTTTGTGCATCGCTTTTGTATATGTACCTATAGCCCAGCTCAACGAACAAAAGGACACTATGGCAGATAAACCTGTTCGATTGTCCATTTAAGTATAAATTAAATACAATTCATTATTCAATGTGGCAAATATTCAATTTCTCGCATGTATTTCTCTGAGATATACAGAAATTAGACATCTATAGTTCTAGACATTTTTTGGTCGGAAATAGAGAGAGAGAGAGAGAGTGGCAGTTGGGAGTCATTTTATTTTTAGCACTTTAAAACACCCACCCTACTCAGAGAACATTATTTTTAAAGTTACGGTGTAGTGAGCTTTCCCAATAGAATATCTAACCAATATCCATGCGTTTGACTCCTAAACTTAAATAGCAGTGCTTTCTGCAAGAGGATAGAATACTGTCCATGATATCTTTGTTCCTGCCTCTGTTATCTATGGGGGCGGGTCAAAGGAAGTAAAATATGCAGTCTCTTAACTCCAGTTTTCTCTCAAATTCTACATACAAGATTCCCTTTGTGGGAAAAGTATCATTATTGTAGGAGATCTCGTACATAAAAAAGATAATATAAAAAATGTCGATAAAAGTAACAGAACTTGAAAGTCAAACGATAATACGTTCATACTTGTTAAAAGTGAAGTGTTTACATCTTCTTCATAGCATGTTCTCAGGGTTACATGTAAGTACCTTCACATTTAATCCATAGGGTAAACTACATTTACGCTAATAACATTATTTCTTTTATAGAGGCAACTTACATTAGTAAAATTAATTACCGTAATAGTTATAGTATTTATGACGCTTATATTCTTATTGAATTTAATATATAATTCATGTTCACACATAAGCAAACATTTAAAGACTGCAAACTATATCCATAATGGAAATTACAAACATAGCAATGCAATTAGCAATAAATCTACTTTCATTAATTTGTCAGTAGAAGAAATGAAAAATGTAAGGATTCAATTAAACATCAGGAAAACCGAGTTAGAACGGTATTGTGAAACCATGGGCAAAAAGGATTCAAATTTAGACAATGTACTGGCAAACATGGTTATCGATACGTAAGTATAAAATAATTTCTTTTCACAATTGCTTTTTGAAATACAAATTAATTAACATTTATATTGTACAGAACACATGGAATATCATGGTGTCCGATATACAAGGCAGCAAGTTCGACTTGGATGAAGCATTTTGCAACCCTTGGAGGAGTATTAACAGAGACAGCTATGGAGTTGATTCATAGAGATATTTTACAAATCAATACCATTGTGAGAAAAGCATTTCCACGCGATCGTGACATGAAGAAAGCCTACCAAGTATAAAATTCTTTTTATTATATAAAAATTAGTACATCTTCTTCAAAGATGAATAAATATATAAATAAAATTATAGATTAAACTGTGGTTTAAAGAAATCACAATTATTACTTATTTTCAGAAGATCAAAAAGATAACATAAGACAAGAAATTTGTTGTTACAGAAGCTGAACACAACGAAGAAATTCCTGATCGTTCGTCATCCATTTGAACGTCTTGTATCCGCATACAGAGATAAATTGGAACACATAGAAGGAAGAGATTATTACTATAAAAGATTTGGACGGCACATTACGCATAAATACCACCGATACAGACAACCCAACGAAACTCAATTAGAACCAACGTTTACAGAATTTCTCCGTTTCATAGTAGAAGAAAAATACTTCGACGAACATTGGGCACCATTTGTCGACACATGCGAACCTTGCTTAATTAAGTATAATTACATTTTGAAATTTGATACGTTCGATCGAGATCAACAGTTCCTAATACAAGAATTAGGTTTAAGAGAATATCTATATGAAAAAAGTGATTTAAGAAATATAAATCCGCGCGGAGTCACAACTACCGCTGTGGTTAAAGAGTATATGCAAAATGTTCCTAGATCGTTGCTCGACGAAATTAATAAGGTTTATGAAACTGATTTTAAATTGTTTTCTTATTTACCTGTGTAATATTTTAGGGTATTTTACGTTAACATTCAAACCATAAATGTGATAAATAGTTGCATTTAATCCAGAACTTCTGCAATAATGATCTCTACTATGAAGTTAATAACTTCTGTATTTCTTAACTGAAATAATTATTTTGATTGTTCTTACTTGTCCACAATGGTGTGCGACGTAATACTGCCATGACATATAGCTGCAATATTAATTGTGGAGCAGCTCCCATGAACGACTCAAACAAATGCAACATGCATATATCACTTTCCTGTCTATATACCCAATTTTTATCCTTCGCAAATCGTTTGCTTCTTAAGGAATATATTGTAGCATACAGTAATATTAAATACCTAGAAATAAAATTATTGTCCCTCAAAAGTAACAAAGGAACTAATTGTAAACTTTTAGAAAAATCTTTTTAAATAATACCTGTGTAATATTCCTAAGAACAAAAAGTGTAACAACCAATGTATAGCTTTAATAGAACCATCGCTGTGATACCATCTTAAACTAAACATTTGGATAACACCAGCGGGTAGAATTGTGAAACTCAAAGCAAAGCATCCCCAAATAAATTGGCCTTGTAAAAAGTATTCCATAAATACAATACTATCTACAAAAAACATATTCTATAATAAATTCCATGTATTCCATGAATACACCTATTAAATGCAATGTTTTCATAGATTTAAAAAACATAAAAATGAACAGATCTTGCTATCGAGTTGAAACAATTTTCATTCAACCAAAACTCCGTTGCAACAAAAATGTTTCTTCTATAAAAAAAACATTTTTCTTATTGATTTAATGATATGAGTTCTTTAGGTTCAAGATAAAGTGTTCTTTCTTTGTGTTCAATTAAGGCTATGTTGTTGGTAAAAGTGACAGTATGAGACAAGTATAAGACATACAGTGCCAACAGGCTCACAATTACCCTTACTAAAAATTATAAACAATTTCTGGACCACTGAATCCTTGATACAGTCCTCATAGATGATGCAAATGTTTAGAGTGGTTTAGGAATCACTTAAGCCTTGATTGAACACGAAAACCAATAGATGTTTTGACTGTTGATTTTTGACACTCCATAACCTCAACCTAAAACACTTGCACTATTACATCAAATCTGTAAAAGCATCTAATAGAGAAAAGAAAGGCTTTTAAAATCATACACAATACTAAACAAACAAAAAATGTTCTCGAGATTAAATGTCAATCCTAACATTTACATGTATAACTTGCACCAAAATTAAAAGGTATTAATTGAATTATCTCATTTTAAGACATACCATTTAATCGAAGTCTATATTTATTCACACTACTATAAAGGTTGCAAGAATCATGAAATTTTAAGTTGCATGTACTGCATTGTTTATTATATTACAATAAACGTGCACAACTGTAAATAATGTATAAACCGTAAAGAGGTCTATGTTTCACTTTCCACGTTGGATACGCTAAAAGTATATAAATTTGTCGACCATTTTTGTATTATTTTATATTAATAAGATAAAACATTTCTGAACAAAATACGAAAACTATACAATACACTTTTAATCCTTGTTCACCTGTTGCTATATCGATGAAAAAAAAAATGACACAAGTCAAGTAGTAGATTAAGTCTAACAATCTGAACCGGTAGCATTCGATTTCTCTGTGCGATACTACTGTCGATACATTTCCTTTCACAGTTTCGTAGCACGAAACATTATCATGTTTTAACTCTGCCGCCGCCATCTTCCCGGCCATTCTCGATTTAATTTCACACAATAGACGAAAGAACGCGTTCCAAAATCACCCGCGGACTTTCCATATTTCTTTTATTTGCAACGCCTTCCGAACGTACAACTCGATACATCGAATTCGCCCCTCGACACGACACGTTCAAACGAAACACGACGATCGTTTCTTTCGAAAACTAGATCAGTGAACAGATTTGCGAAAAAAAAAAATAAACCACCAGAATTACATCACCGACACGAACATCAATTACAGCCAATCCCGTATCGGAATCTTCATTTTCGAACGAGATACGTCCCAATCAAAAACGTCCGATTAATTTAATTCATCGTGTTGTGTAAAATATTAACTGAATATTTCCCATTTTTCTTTACTTTTTTGTTATGAGACCAATTGTGCACGTTTCTAAGTAAAACTGATCAAAGCTCTATTTGCAAATATCTGGAGATTGCTACCTGTTCGTATGCAAAATTGATATACAAATTAATTAAAGAAACATTATAACAAAAACCGTACTTTGATTAGCTTGATATTGATGCAGGTGTACGTTATTAATCCCTAAAAAAAAAAAAATTATCTATACAGGGTGTCCCAAAAATGTTGTAACACCTTGAAATGGGTGGTTCGGGAGGTGATTTGAAACAACTTTTTCCTTAGCGAAAATGTTGTCGGAGGCTTCGTTGAAGAGATATTAACGGAAAACACTGACCAATCAGAGCGCGAGGATGCCGTTGGAGCGGCCGTGGTAGCGAAGGCTACGCGCTATAGGCGGCAGCGTCAATGTCCTTCGATGCACGTCGAGTCGCTTGTTCGCGTACAAGCGCGGCCGCTTAGCACATAGCCTTCGCTACCGCGACCGCACCAACGGCATTCTCGCGCTCTGATTGGTCAGTGTTTTCCGTTAATATCTCCTCAACGAAGCCTCCGACAACATTTTCGCTGAGGAAAAAGTTGTTTCAAATCACCTCCCGAACCACCTTTTTCAAGGTGTTACAACATTTTTGGGACACCCTGTATTCACGTGAGCATGGACATCTACGCATACTTATCACGCAAGCGTATATCGCAAGCATACGCTCACTGGTGCTCAACTGAAAAACCTGTCTGCACTACTACAGATACACAACTAGCAACTGTATACTAGCAACCAGGTAGCCCCTCCTAATCTTACGCGATGCGTGAGGAGAGATGCGCATAAAAAACTGTTCTCTCGTCAACTACCCGGTGGCGCGAATCGTAGTGACCAACACGTGCGTTACTCTGTCGATGAACAATCGGCACACAATTTTAGTTTATACCATTTACAAATGACTATGTTATTTTTAGGCAAGAGAATTTTTTTAAAGTAGGTCCTTTGCGTTGTATACTTTCACTTGAAACGACAAGTTCCTGAAGAACATTGCTATACGTTAGAAAAAAGTTTTTAGCTATCCTTATCTATCTATTTTTACATCAATTTTATTTTGAATTGTATCGTGATATTACGAATAGTAATTAATTTCTTAAAAGAATACGCTAAATAACGCTTGTTACTAATTATTGATAGTTCCAGCGTAAAGCACGTGTTGCTGCGATTGGCTGCGATCTGCACATCTGCACCACCGAAGAGTTGGCAGCACAATAATTTTATGCGCATCTCCCTTCGCGCACTTCATACGTTAAGAGGTGGAGGGGAAGTTCCTCCGTTGGTGGCGGTTGTGTCTTTGTAGTAGTCCGGTCAGATTTTTTTCAATGGAGTGTATGTGTTTCTCAATACGACTATAAAATAGAATATGGCGAGCATTTGATGACTGGACGTATATGTACGATCTAGTGTTAACAGCCAGTTGTTTTTTGCTGACATAGCATCGAATATACAAACTGCTGAGATTATGCTTGTAATACGATCTTCACGATAAATCGTATCGAAACGTAAATCGACAAAAGTAGTAATCGTCATAAATGTTAACCTTCTTAACGAGAACAAAGTTAGATTCTACATTAAAGTAAATTTAAATTTTGCGCGAGGTCGGTAATGCCATTAAGTTTAGAATTGTGTTAAATATTCCTGAGAATGTGGGGATAAGCGGTGATATATTAGCAGAGTATCGTGGTTTCTAAGAAATGACATTCTGTTTCAAAATATTTTTGTTTAATATCTATTACCAAGGTCAGTGAATTGTCAATTAAAATTGTCATCATAAAACCCCTTGTACGGTAAGCTCAAGATTGCACATGTTTAAATATGTTAAAAGACCCAAAAACGGGACAATAGCAATTATTGTTTTTTAATGTTTCTTTCAGAGATAGAAATAGGGATGTTATGCTATTAAAAAGACATCGAAACACCATGTACAGTTTCGAAGGAGATTACAGACGTAAACCTCAACAAAATTTAGCTGGTGCCAGTAAAAGGAATGATCGAGCAGAAAAGTCAGTCCTCTTGCAGCATGCGCAATTGGAACGTTTAAAAAGAGAGCAACAACGTAGAAGGCACAATGCAGCATTAAAAATTCAGGCGCTTGTGCGCAGCTTCATTGTCAGAAAGCATATGAGAATGGTGGTGAGGAAAGAATTCGACGAAGAACAACAAATAACTGGTCGTAGAAATGTGAATCTAGATGACTTAGTAATATATTTTCGAAAATTATTATTCTTTTACGATTATACTCTGGATACCGGTAGACTTGTTTGGACATTTCAACATTTTCTAAAGCACGAGCAAGAAATTAAACAAAAATGTGTAAACTGTCCTGAGTGGTTATGGAGATTACGGTAAGTTTTAACAGAAAGAACATTGTATAATTTTTGTGTATTCTACTTTGTAATAATAATAAATATTTTTACAGATGGATGCTTCGTATGTGTATGCAACATAATTCAGAAGCCTTAATGGATGGAGCTTATTCGTTGGCCATACCATTAAGAGCTTTAGAAACGTTTACTAGTCGAGAAGATACGGGAAAGGTCTTAAGAGGGAGTAGTTATAAACATCTAGAAACCATCTTTATATATTTGATAAAGCACAAATACTTTGATCAATTAAGGAAATTGATAAACGAGAAAGTCCCGCCTTTGTTGGAACCTACTTCTATCCCAGCAACCCCTATCTCAAAATGTTTAGTGGATATGATAAAGCGACCACTGGACTTAATTTCCTTCCTAGACCAGAAAGATGATTTTTCTATGCTCGTTTTACAGGAACTTTGTAGAAGTATACTATCTCCAAGAATGTCCGATCCTATTCGGATGTTTATTATTCCATCATTGTCTGAATTCAAAGAATTTCCATACATTCAATTAATCGATTGCATCAACAGAATGGAAATAGAGCCTACAATAAGTTTGCTTTATTCCATTTTATCCTTAGAATCGAATCGATTCAGTAAGTGTATGAAAATCAAATCTGATATTAATTACGATAAATGAATGTAAAGTAATGTTTTGATTTTTTTGTTTCATATTACAGCAACGTGTAAATTTAAAGATGTTCTTATTAACTATTTACAAGTACTCGCATCCACGAGTTCGACGATAATCCCGTTGGTCGCAGAGGAAAGCACGGAGCAAGCAGATGATTCGGATACGGAATCTAATGTAAACATGATCGATAAAGAAGAAGCTGATGTTTTACATCAGTGCCTGGAAATGCTGAACGAACAGCAACGTGTTCAGAAAATACTTTTAGCGGTGGATCGTAGCAAAGATCCGGCCGTGTTGCAACCTTTGTGCCAACTTTGTCATCATTTGCTGATTACCAACAAATTAGCCATTCACAAGTATAAATTATTATACATGCTCGCATTCAAGCCAGTGTTTCTCAAGAATTTATGGACCGTTTTGTTGTCAGTTTGTCAAATGTCGTTATTCGGTGGAGCGACACCTCTACTGCAGATTATGTCGCAGGGACTCAGTCTTTCTAGCGAAGACACGAAAAAGATAGTTCCGCTGTTAGCCGTATTTTGTTCATTGTTCAGTTTGCTTATCGCAACGTTGCACGACACAGAATTCTTCATCGAAACGACTGAACAGCCGTTGGACACCAACGGTCAACAAGCAATGCCATTCACCATCTCGGAATTGGTATTGCTCTCTGGCCACTTGAAAGGGGTTTGCTTGGGCTTAGTTGAGCTTGCGTTTCCCGACAGCCGGCCTACCGTGCGAGACAATTACAAAACCGCTGTTCTTGGTCCGTCGGGCACTATTCAAAATCAACAAGACACCCAAATGTGGACGCATCTATTCAAAGTAACGGTTAGCTTGCTACGTCAGTTGCATACGCGAGACTTGAGACAGCAATTCTGTCCAGAGGGGCATTGGATCGCTTCGAATATTGCGATACCTATAGACAAACCTCAAAATTTCACGTTTCGCAGGCGTAGGCTCAGGGGTTATGTACCATTTCAAGGGCTTCGAGTGTTTACGCGAGAGGAGCTGGAGGAAGGACCACCTTTGTCCTCGAAGGAAGTTCGAACGTTAACGCTCCTTCGCGAGATACCGTTCGTTGTACCGTTCAGCGATCGAGTAGTGGTGTTTCAGTCATTAATTTATCGCGACAAATCGGAACAACAAGGTGACGTGACAAACTTTATGCAAGGTCCGTCAATAAAGATATCGGTGAGAAGGAACTATTTGTACGAGGATGCGTTTCAAAAATTATCGCCTGAGAAAGAATCAGAATTGCGATTGAAAATGCGCGTGCAGCTCGTTAATTCGGCTGGACTGGAAGAAGCTGGTATAGACGGTGGCGGTCTATTTAGAGAATTTTTATCGGAACTGTTAAAAACGAGCTTCGACCCTAACAGAGGCTTTTTCAAGCTCACTAAGGATAACATGCTGTATCCGAATCCTACGGTACAATTGTTGGTTGATGATTTCCCAAAGCATTATTACTTTATCGGTAGAATTCTTGGGAAAGCTTTGTACGAGAATCTGTTGGTCGAGCTTCCGTTCGCGGAATTCTTTCTATCGAAAATCGTTGGTCGCCAATCGGACGTTGACGTTCATCATTTGGCCTCCTTGGATCCGATCATGTATAGGAATCTCTTGTATCTGAAAAGTTACAAAGGCGATGTCGCCGATCTTGGCTTGGACTTCACTATACTGTCAGACGAGTTAGGCGAACGACGAGTCGACGAATTGAAACCAAGCGGTGCCAATATTCCTGTCACGAATCACAACCGTATCGAGTATATCCACTTGATGGCAGACTATAAACTGAACAAGCAGATCAGGGCACAATGTTATGCGTTCAAGCAAGGTATTGGTAACGTGGTACCCTTGGACTGGCTTCAAATGTTCAGCAACAAAGAGCTGCAAGTATTGATATCGGGTGCACAAATTCCCGTTGACGTAAACGACTTGAAATTGCATACAAACTACACGGGAGGCTATGCACCCAATCATCCGACGATAACTGCTTTCTGGAAAGTCGTTAACGAATTTAGCGATCAGCAAAAACGACAGTTGCTGAAGTTCGTTACCAGTTGCAGTCGGCCACCACTACTTGGATTCAAGGTGTGTACGAATACATTATTCCAAGATAAATCATTATTCGTTATTAACACTTTACCGAACGGTAGCTTATTAGTCATCTATTTGGCTAAAACAAGCAATATTATATGAATTATGAGATACTATATAAGTATTAGGTTGTCCCGAAAGTTTCTTTCGCGAGTTGCACTCAATTATTTTATGTGGTCGTGTTTATATAAATAGACAATCTAATTTCATAAATATTCATGTTGTAACAGTAATGGAGCAAAATGAATCGTGCACAATTCAGTAATGTAACATAAAGCATAAACTATTGTGCATGTATTACTTATTAATAAAGCGAAAGAAACTTTTGGGACAACCTAATATTAATCAGAAAACATTTCTAGTAGACAAAATAAATATTTTATAATTTGATCAAAAGAAGACAAATTGTTGAATTGTACTATATATCCA